AAAAAAAAAAAAAACTTATCCGTTCCATGCAGCGCGAAATTGAGATCCACTTTCTATGCAATTCAGCTCTTTTCTCGTGCATTAACTTAGCTGTAAAATTAACCACGAAGGTTCTAGTGTCATGAAAGTAAATATTTCAACTGCAAAGGCGACCGCTCGGAAACTCTGTCGACTGGCATTTCTGACAGGTGGACGGCTATCATCCCAGTACATTTCTTCAAGACATGGCTAAGTAGAGTGAATACAACAGAAAATACGTACACATAAATCTGTTTACTAAACAAATGTTTACTCTGAAGTAATCATACGAGATTGCCTCTGAAGCGCAACAATGGTTACTACTGGTTTCAACGATACAAACATTCCCGTATTCCGAAGTTAATAAATAATACAGCACATTTATGGTATACGAACTGCTGCTGATTTTTGCGCTGACCTGTGAGATGCGTAGTAAACCATGACCGGCACATTTCCTGAATCGTGTGTTGCCGTATGCCCTCACTCTTGTATCTTTTGCAGCACGAAAGCCGTCAAAAAAAAAAAATATGATAACTGCAGCTTGATTAATTTTAGTGCTTCAAATCGAGGTAGAAGACGTGATATTCAGTTGAAAGAAGATTACATTCAGTTGGTAAATGTTAGCCAAAAAGCGAAAACCATCATCTTCCCAGCCAAACTACGTTTTTAGGCCAGGAGTAGGCGATTTGGGCTGGGAATTCCAATTATGAGTTGCTATCAGATTTTCAGCATACCAACTGCTCATTTGTTTCTGAGAGTTTTAGTTCTGTGATAATTCATGCATACAAATATGGAGAGATGTTGCAAAAGGCGAAAACAATCATTTTTGGCAAAAAATCATCAGGGTGTTCTAATGACAATCTGGAAACACTTTTGGCGTGGCTACGTAATCAGTTAATGTGAAACAAACGGGCAACATCCAGTCCCATCATTCGAGGTCAGTCAGCATCAACGCAAAACAAAAATTATACAAAAGTATTAACTATCAGTAGTCTTTTTTTCTTTTCACTATACAGAAAGAGTCAGAAACTTCGGATAACCGATGTGGTCATCAAAAATGCGAACAAGGTCGTGGTCGTCGCAGAGGATAGCTGCCGAGCGTCTTTTGTTGCTGTTTCCACACTCGTTTCCGTCACTCCTGTAGTGCAAACGCATCCATTTAGTGCAGGCTGTATGGCCTGACTATCAAAAAATTTAAAGAATTGATGCCTGAAAACTGAAGACGACACGCGCCGGTCTGTGCCCTGCGACAATTGCGCCACTCTTTGCAGAGAAATAGGCTCTTAGCTGATTATATATTTTTTAAATAGACCCTTAGCTGATTATACATGCAGGCCAGATTTATGAATATATATGTGTGCTAGGAGCGGACAACAGGAATGTGGCGCAAATATAGCGGCGCAACGGATTTTTTGCAGTGCCGGCTCAGGCACAAAGCATGACCGTTATTTCTGCTCTCTTTGTCTAGTAGACATCTGGAGGGCCGAAGCATCGGTAAGGCTTGCCGAATACGGTCACTTTTTTTAAGGTCGGATGGCTGCATGTTTTGAAGGTCTGATGGCTGCACTCATTTACATAAAATATGGATGACATGACCAAAAGAAAAAAAAAAGAACTTAGACCACCCAGTCGGTCACATTCCGTTGCTTATACTGAGACTGTTCAGTGATGGGAGGTTGAGAAACACTTGCATATCAGGGGAAAGGTGAGGGTGGAGAACAGCATGTTTATCTAGTTCGTTATTTTTGTTGCTCAGTTTCTGAAAGAACGCAGTTGTAACCCAATGATTTTCCAGCATTTTTGAATAAAAACATGGATGTTTAAACTGATGAAACTCAGAAGTGCCATAATTCGATGAATTCAAAGAGCAGCATCCGGATTCGTTAATACTCAGCTTACACGAAAAGCTAAATCTAGTGTTGTAAAGGAGATTCAGGCATCAAGCCAAACTAGAATTCGGGCAAATACTTTACCACATGAGATCGGCGGCGCAGCCCCGGCTTTTTTAGGGAAAGATTTTTGGAAGCGCATTCAAAAGCTTCTCAATGTATGCTTTTATTTTCGCTTAACATCTAAACAGTGAAAAGCAGTATTACTGGAAGCAACAAAAATTTGACAGGCGCTTTCTGAAAAAAATTACTTGGAGCGTACTGTTCGAGGCTGTATTATTATCCAGAGCCTTTTCATATGTTTCCTGTATCATTATTTGCCGAATGCAACATCCACGCAAAATAGTCTGTTACTGACAAATCCCAAAATGGAATGTATATAAATGACTGGAAGAAGTTCGTTCGAACTCGAATCTTTAACTTCAGTTTACTCCTTTAGAAACGGATGCAGAAAAAGCAAACTGAGGATAATTTTAAAAATAGATACCGGCAGCAGCTCCAGCGGTCTTAGCAGCATTTTCTGTAGCTTCTGTTTTGCCGCCCTGCAACTTTTTTGGGATATCATATTCAGGATAAAAAATTTTCAAATTTCAGTTTTATTTCACAGCTGCAACAAGCGAGCACTTTTAAAGAAGCACTTGAAAGAAGCACGGAAACAAACTTGTTGCGAATGTAGATCTTTGAAGAGGGCGAAAATTATTATTAACAGGTATCCGTACTGCATTTGACCCTGAAACAAACAGCTCATGGATTTTAGACGTTCGAAACAACACGATCTCCGAAAAAAAAATGGTGAAATTAATTCACTTGTCGCATCACACAACTTAGTAATTTATTCGTGCTGTTAGGAACATCCATTTTTATCTTGAAAGAAATGCCGCGATGTGATGGGTACTGGTGGGCACTGCATGCTACGGCCGGTATGCAGTGCCTGCGATTCGAAACTGGTCGCTGCAAAAAGCAGTCACTGCACGCAATTGAGGTTTTGGATGAATTCAGTGCTGGTTGCCTCTTGGCATAGTACCCCTGTGCAGCTTGGTTTTCGGATATCAGCAGTGCGAGAATTGAAGGGACGAACTATCGCCAGCCTTGGCAACGAAAATGCTTAAATCCTCCGTCAA